TTGTATTTGAGACTGCTGTTAAAAAAACACTACATAAACATAATTGAAATGAAGAGAAATCAAAATTAATTGAAAAAATAATCAGGTATTTCAATTGTAGTCATATGTTTAATAAGTTATTTTTTATTTATTTAAAATGAAAAGTTGTTTGAAATTAAATCAAGAGAAAACTTATAGTTTTGAATTCAATTATATATCAAATTTAGTTAAAACAAAAATAATTTTTTATAATATTTTGAAAGTTGATGACCAATAATGATTTATTTACAAATATTAAGTTTTATATTAACAATTGATTTTCACATATATCAATTTAGTAAATTTTTAAATTAAATCAGAATATATTTTTTGAATATGTGAAAATCTTTTCGATGTATAACCACATCAAAACGATATTGAAAATCAAATAGTGTATTTAAAATATTATTTAAGTGAAAATAATTTAACTTAAATAATAATTAAAATAATTATGAAAACAATATGCGTGTAGGACGCAAACATCCCTAATAGTTTAAAAAATCATGTATTTACATCACATTTTTTATTTAATATTTTTATATATAACCTTTTTAACACTATAAAAAGGCACTTTAAAGAATTGTGTATTATTACTTTCAGTTTTCTTATTTTTTCTATTAATTAAAAATATTTTTAAAAATTGCATATTTTTATCATAATTAGTTTGCACATTTCTATTTATAGCTTATTGTTAATAATTCAAAAAATAATTTTTTCTGATAATTATAAATTGTTTATGAGGTTTACATATTTTTTTATTTTTTTATAATTATTTTAAATAAATTTCTTTTTAATCTTTAATTATTATTTCTAGTTAAACAAAGTAACACATGAACATTAAGAAAACCAATCAGATCATTTTGATTCACAAAGGATAGCATAAAAAATTCAAACTCAGAAAGCAGACGAACCAGTTAAGGAAGTGCTCTCCGGCAATGTTTCCCACATCGGCCAAAGCTTGGCTCCATTTTCGCCTGTCTTCCTCCGTTCTGCGGCGACAAGTTTCACTGAAAGCTCTCCCGAATTCTCCGGTCTGTTTCCGAACATCCGATGGATCTACGCCGTAGAAGACCGTCATCACAATTTGCCCAATATCTTGCTTGCACTTGAAGATCTCCACCAATTCATCCAAACACCATCCTGAAGAAGCATAGTTCTTCGTGAGCACCACGATCGAGATCCTCGATTCCTTAATCGCTTGAGTGATAGCAGGAGCGATGGTTTCACCTCTCTCGATGCCTTGATCATCGAACATCGAAATCCCATTGCAGCTGAACTGTTTGCGTAAATGACTGAGAAATGTTTTACGGACGTCGGGGCCGTGGAAACTCGTGAAGACGCTGTATCTCCAGGTGCGAGGCCGAGAAGAATAGGAAGAGGAAGAAGCCATGAGAGATGTTATCGTGATTGATTCAAAATCACTGATTCACAGTGATGCGTTTTGGATGAATAAAGCCATAAATAAGAGGAGAAAATGGCAAACGCGTACGCTTACTGTTGATTGTTGACTCTTCTGACTGGTTATTGAGATCGAGAGATGACTCTTTTCGCTCATTTTTATTCATACTTTGTGAACGTCTATTTACTAACAAAGTCAACTTGCTCACAAATTCGTTACAAACGAAGTCAACTCGTTCACAAAGTGTGAATAAAAACGAATCCATACTAAATGAAAGGAGGAGTTGGGCTCTAAAGCCATCCACCTCAGTTTTTTTAGAAGTTTTCTAAACTTGCCACATCAGCAGACCTATGATAAAAATAATTGTTTAATATATTTATAACTTGTTTAAATTTAAATAGTATTTAATCAATAATAATAGTAATACTTGAATATTGGTTAAATCGTATGTACTAATACAACAAAACATATAACTTTATTTTAACAAAAAAAAATTTCATAACTTATATTAATAATAATCACACTTTAAAACTAAAAAAAATTGATAAGATATAATATTATGAGGTATAGAGTTCATCCACACAATAATTAAAAGCACCAAATACGTATGATTATGTACATGCTATTACCTTTGTTTTTGGCTAAATATTTTTAGGCATATATTAAATTAATTACAACATAATATGAACCATCGTTATGGTCATATGAGAAATAGACTTGCATAATTTTATATTTAACATTAATATATTACACTTTCATATTTAAAAATAGTATATATATTTTTTTATATAAAATAAAATTTCATGAAAACATCTCTAACCATCTACATCAACAAAAAAAAAGAATTTTCTTACAAATTCAACATGTAAGGAAAACTAATATGGTTTTTCTGGTTAAGAAACTCTTTTAAAAATAAAATAATATCTATTATTAATTTAATTATAAAGGTTTATTAAAATATATATGTAGTGTAAGAAAAAAAATGTAAGTTAAATTGCAAATGCAAATGAGCTTTTTACAATTTTTGAGTTTTGAGAAACTAGACATACTTTGTTCAATAGAATGAGTTAGTATAAAGTTTTATTTGTATATGTATTACTTCTTTATTCATCTATAATTATATACTTTACATATGCTTCAGAGACCAAATCAAAATTATAGTTTATCAAGATGATTGTGATTTTGTATAATATGTAAATATTTTAGGTATATATTAAATTAATTATAGTATAATATAAATCATCGTTATAGTCATGCATATAAAAAATAGACTTGCATAATTTTATATTAACCATTAATATATTACACTTTCATATTTAAAAATACAATATACATTTTTATGTAAAAGAAAATGTCATAAAAAATCTCTGACCATCCACATCAACAAAGAAGAAATTTCTTACAAACTCAACATGTAAGAAAAAATAACATGGTTTGTTTTTTTGGTTAAGATTTTTTTTTTAAAATATTATGATATATATTATTAATTTAATTATAAGGGTTTATCAAAATATATATGTAGTGTAAAAAAATATCTAAGTTAAATTACAAACAAATGCAAATAAACCTTTTATACCTATTGAGTTTTGAGACACTCGACATACTTTGTTCAATCGAATGAGTTAGTATGAAGTTGTATTTGTATATTTATTACTTATTTTATTCATCTACACTTTTATAATTTACATATGCTTTATGGATCAAATCAAAATTGCAGTTTATCAATATGATTATGACTTTCTATAATATGTATATGTTGCTTTTATTATATGAACAATAGTTTTTTAAGGATTTGTAAGAGTTTTGAATATTGATTGTTGTCTTGTATTTAAGACTGCTAAAACAAAAAACTACACAGACTCAATTGAAATGAAAAGAAATCCAAATTAATTGGAATAATAATCAGATGCTTCAGTTGTAGTCATATGTTTAATAATTTTTTTTTAAATGAAAAAATGTTTGAAATTAAATAAAGAAAAACTTATAGTTGTTGAGTTCAATTATATATCAAATTTATTTAAAACAAAAATAATTTAAATAATAGTTTGAAAGTTAGTGAAACAATGAGTTTATATATCAAATTTAGTTAAAAAAAAGTAATTTAAATAATATTTTGAAAGTTAGTGAACAACAATGAATTTATATATAAATATTAATTTTTAAATTAACAGTTAATTTTTATATATATCAAGTTAGTTAATTTTTAAATTAAATTATAATATATTTTTAAGTACGTTAAATTTTTTAAAATGTATAACCACATCAAAATAATATTAAAAATCAAAATATATATTTAAAATATTAATTTAAAGTTCAAAATTTAACTTAAATAATAATTACATATTTATAAAAATAATCCGCGCGTAACACGGAAACATCTCTAGTTATCATTACAAACAAACAAAGAAAGGAAAAAATCAGATATTTCGTCTAATTTTTTTATTTTATTTTTCATTTTCAAGACTTAACTTTTGGCAATTTACGAGAAGCTACAACCTTGTTGATATCTGTTAGCTTGGGGTTGAATTATAATTAACCAACCAAGTTGTTTTCAAGTTTGGAGTCTGGTTTTTATTGATCCCATAAAAAATTTCTGGTTTTACTAACACATGTACAGTTTGGAGTCTAATTGAATCTTTTCTGCTTTACAGGAGTTTTCATGGAAAGTCATACTTTAGAGCGAAGGTTCATCAGAGAAATTATCATCTCATGACTGTGTCAAAGCAGAACAACGATCAAAGACTTTATAGCTTATTATTAAACTGTTGACAAAATAAAAAGCTTATTATTAAACTATACAAAAGAACACTTGAAATTTGAAAGCAAACTCAAGAGAAAAACCAAAAATTAAGAAAAAGAAATATGCTCTGCTAGTGAGTTGATGATAGATACATTGGTTATCATGAACTTGTACGATTCGTTTTTACTGGGTTTAAAGTCTTTGTCATCGAATTATGCTCTGCTAGTGGGTTTTGGGGTCTCAAAACTCCTCCTTTGTTTCATTTCCTTCTATGTTCTGTGTGTAAATTGGTTTTTGTGTCAAGTCACAGCTAATCTCCGCAAATCGAAAACCTCAATCAGTCTGCTTCGGAGCTCGTTCCTCTGGAATCGCATTAACTTCGAGATTGCACTATTCATCAAGTTTCCCCACTAAGCAAATCTCCGTCGCTTATGCCAACACCAAGAGAACGGCTTGTGTTAAAAGCAACTCATAAGAGAGACTCTCATCATCATCGTCTTACTTGTTGTGAACAAGATTCATAGCTCCCAGTGGTGCTCACATTTTGGTCTGTCAAGATCTGGACACCACATTTAGTAACTTGGACATCATCGGATGTGGTGCTGAAGTGGAACAATACCTCGTTGTCATGTTCAAGCCATCTGGATTATCTGCTGTTTTCTTGTGTGGATCTTGTAGTGAGATTTTATGTCGTGATACATACTTTCGCTCACCCTCTATATGTGCATATATTACAGGGAATGGATCTCTATTTAAGAGACATGATGAGCAAGCTGTGACTTGTGAAGACTTCTTTGCTGCTATGCGTGATGCAAACAATGCAGATTTTGCTAATTTTTTGCAATGGTAAGTCAGTTTTAAATAGTGGGATTTCTGTTGTGAATATTATTGGTGGTTTCATACTTCTAAGGATATACCACATACTACATTTTAGGTACTCCCAAGCTGGAACGCCAGTTGTTAAAGTGGCCTCCTCTTACGATGCTGAAGCTCGTACCTTTTCTTTGAAATTCAGGTCCGGTTCTTCTCATGTGTATTCTATTTTGCCATGCTTTACACCAAAAGATAATGCAACGCGATTGAAATTTAATCCTCTATAGATCTTACCTCTACGGAATTTGTTGTTGACACATTGGCTTGCTTTGTAATTGATCACTTTCCCAGTCAGGAGATACCCCCGACTCCATGCCAGCCAACAAAAGAACCAACATTTATTCCAGTAGTGGTTGGTCTTCTAGACTCAAGTGGGAAAGACATTACACTTTCCTCTGTTTATCATGATGGTACACCGCAAGCCATTTCAAGCAGCAGCACAATTCTTCGAGTGACTAAGGTCAGTCGAGAATCCCTTCTTTAAACCAATACTATCTTTTGTAATTTATGTACACTTTCCTCTGTTTCCTACTGTTTTTTCCTCACCGTATGTATTGTTTATGTGCAGAAAGAAGAAGAGTTTGTGTTCTCTGATATATCAGAAAGACCTGTTCCATCCCTATTTAGGGGATTCAGTGCCCCAGTTCGCGTTGAGACTGATCTCTCCAGTGATGATCTTTTCTTCCTCCTAGCCCATGATTCAGATGAATTCAATAGGTATGTGCCTTTCTACAATATACTAGCTCTTCTTTATTCTCTTTTCGCATTTCGATCATTCAATTTTTTCTGTATTTCAGGTGGGAGGCAGGTCAAGTTCTGGCAAGGAAGCTCATGCTGAACTTAGTTTCTGACTTCCAGCAAAATAAACCGTTGGTTCTAAACCCAAAGTTCGTGCAAGGTCTCGGCAGCGTGCTTTCTGACTCGAGCTTGGATAAGGTATGGCTCTACATTTCCTTCTCGACCCACGTAATCATACAAGGAAGTGTAGCATAAGACTTTGTTGTAATCTGTTTCTTTAATCTGTTCTGTAGGAATTTATAGCCAAAGCAATAATAATGCCTGGGGAGGGAGAGATAATGGACATGATGGACGTGGCGGATCCCGATGCTGTTCATGCTGTTCGAGAGTTTGTCAGAAAACAGCTTGCATCTGAACTTAAAACTGAGTTTCTAAAGATAGTATGTCTTCTTCTCTCTACATAGTGAACCGTTCATGAAGGGGTTCTTCTGTGTTTTCTTTCTGGAATTTCTTTTTCACTGAAACTTTTCAATTGTTGTTTTTTTACTGCAGGTCGAGAACAATAGAAGCACTGAAGCTTATGTCTTTGACCACCCAAACATGGCGCGGCGTGCTTTAAAGAATGTAGCGCTAGGTTTGCATTCCAGATTTATAGAAGGAGATGATGCTCTTTTACTTCGAGTCACTCACTAACTTCATTATGGTTTGTTTTGTTGATATACTCCAGCTTATCTTGCATCTCTCGAGGATCCAGAGTTTGTGGAACTTGCATTGAGTGAATACAAGACGGCCACCAATTTGACCGACCAGTTTGCTGCTTTGGTGTCTCTTTCCCAAAACCCGGGTAAAACCCGTGACGACGTTCTTGCTGACTTCTATGACAAGTGGCAGGACGATTACTTGGTATGGAGTTTCACAAATTCACTTGCCTCTTCCTCCCGGATTTACATATGCCATTACTAACATTTGTCTCGGCTTCTGATCTCAGGTTGTTAATAAATGGTTCCTCCTTCAAGCGACATCTGACATTCCTGGCAACGTGGAGAATGTTAAGAAGCTTGTGGATCATCCAGCTTTTGATCTGCGCAATCCGAACAAGGCAAGTGAATTCTCAGAACTCAATTCATTCCGCAACCATTTGTTGTTTCTCAGTTGTATATAGGCTTACGATGAAACCAAACAATAATGATCATTCAGGTTTACTCGCTTATTGGAGGGTTCTGTGGTTCTGTGGTGAATTTCCATGCCAAAGATGGATCGGGTTACAAGTTCTTGGGCGACATTGTTGTCCAGCTAGACAAATTGAATCCTCAGGTTAAACTCCCAGATTAACTTTGTGTCTTTGCAGTTACCTTTGTAGCTATAAACAACTTTAACGATGTATTTGTTTTCCTTTGGGTCTGATGAGTATAGGTTGCGTCTCGTATGGTGTCTGCCTTTTCGAGGTGGAAGCGGTACGATGAAGCCCGGCAAGCTCTAGCCAAGGTAAACGCAAAAAATCCAGTCAAGAATATTCTCTAAGAACACATAACAAACCGTTAGCATTATTACTGGTTCTGTGTCAGTCTTTGTTTTTTATTTGTCAAGTTTGAAATTCTGTAGCCATGATTGGGTTTATAACCTGAGAAGAGGTTTAGTAGATTAAGCTGTGTTGTGTGTTGTTTTGCAGGCGCAATTGGAGATGATAATGTCAGCAAACGGATTGTCTGAGAATGTGTTTGAGATTGCCTCCAAGAGTTTGGCTGGTTAAGAGAGAGACGTTAAGAATCCTTTTAAAGACGTTAACTATTTTTAGTTAATGAAATAAGCAAATGGGTTATATAATAAAGTATCACAGATTGTTTTAACCTGCTAGTTTTTACTTTTTATATTGAACTCGTGGATTATTTATATAATCTGGCAACAGTGGCAAAGTCATCATCATGCTATAACAGTTTACAAATCGTAAGTTCCTTTTGCATCAAAACAAAACCCTTTCACTGTTGAACAAAAATACAAAATTAACGAGTGAATGACTAAAAGCCTATATATATAGTACAACAAAATCACATAGTACATAACAACTTCCCCCAAAGTACCTTTACTGTCTGGATTCATCAAACTCATTGCTCCCATCAGAGAGACTTTCATCGTCGTCTCCAGACACTTGTTCTGAACAAGATTTATAGCTCCCATCAGAGATACTTTCATCGTCGTCTTCAGATTCATGGCTAACAGCAAATAGAGTCTTTAAGCGAGTCAAGAGACGTTCAATTTCATCGTCGTCTTCAGATTCATGGCTCCAAGCAAAGAGACTCTCATCATCATCGTCGTGTGTCAAGATCTGGACACCACATTCAACAATTTCGAATTCATGGGTTGAGGTGCTGAATTCGAATGATACCTCGTTGTCCTGTTCAAGCCACCCGTAATCCTTAAGCGATTCCAGCTTAAATATACAGAGATGTTTTCCTCGGATATAGGGGAAACTCGCGAGGTCTTGTTTGTTAATAGGGCAACCGTTTAAGCTTATGCGACACAACACATCAAAAGGTTCTTCCAAAAATCCTGCTTTGGTATGCGGTTTGGGGGTAACCACGAGGCAAACTCTAAATCGGTAGAAAGATGAAGAGATGGTCAAGGAGTTTCCTAGAGCTCGGTGATTGAACTCCGCAGGTATTTCCCATCCGGGTAAGCATGCTAGAGATGATTGCTGTGTAATCACTCTCCTTGCTTCTCGGCCCAATTTGTAGCAGTTGATGAACCAGAGTATCTCAATTTGAGAGTCAATAGGGAAAGATGTTATCGTCTCCAATGACTCGCAAGTGTCTACTCCTAGTGCTCTGAGCGAGGCAGGTATTTCCCATCCGGGTAAGCATGCTTTCTCGAGAGATGGTTGCTGTGTAACCACTCTCCTTGCTTCTCCGCCCAATTTGTAGCAGTTGGTGAAACAGAGTCCCTCAATCTGAGAGTCAATAGGGAAAGATGTTATTGTCTCCAGCGACTCGCAAGTCTCTACTATTAGTACTGTGAGCGAGGGAGGGAGCTCTGGCAGTGAAGCAAGTTTTGGACATCCAGATATGAAAAGAAGGTCTAACGCAGGAAGATCTTTGATACGATCTGGAATTCTCTCAATATCTGCGCCAATTCGCTCTGGAAGATCTTCCTCCGAAAGTGGATAGGGATAGATACTGCCGAATATAAGGAGAGTCCGAAGGCGAGACCAAGGGCTAGTTGTTTGAAGCATTTCTTCTAACATCGTGTCTGTAATTAAGAGTTGTGTGACGTTCCTGTAAATATCTGGATTTAGCCTCAATTGCCAGCATCCCATCACGAAGACTGATGGTAGGTTGAAGAGAGTCGGAACAACCTGTAGCTTTATACAGAAACTCATTTGCAACACTTCTAGCTTAGGAAGATTTCCAATTGATGAAGGAATCTCCACCAAACTCCGGCAGTCGGTCAGACCCAAATCCTCGAGATTTGTAGCATTTGAAAGATCCGGGAGTTCCTTTAAACACCCGGAAAATGACAAATCCATCTTCTTGAGATTTATAAGGGGCTGAATGTAAAACAAAGCAAACAAAGTTAACAACATCAACATATGATCGACACAGATTTTATAGTTATTTTGGTAAATGCTTTTCAATTTATTTGAAAATCAAAACAAGATTCCTAAAAACTAGTTCAAGTTTAGTTATTTTAATCACTTCTTCAATAAGAAACTGGTTTTCACAGATTTATTAATGTTTCCAAGTTAAAACTACAAAAGGCTCAAATCAAATCAGTGAATACTTCTACATGTTTGATTTAAAGTCATCTCTAAAGATTGGGTCAAAATTCTAGATAGATTTCTGTATAAATTAAAATCCATAAACTGATAAACATAAGCAAATACAAAACACCAACCTGGGTACCTTCCCAAAGTTTCTCTAGCATGTTGTGTTGCAAATCGAGTTCCACAAGATATTGAGGCTTAAATGTACGAGGAAGACACTTCCCAGGGTATTCGTCCCAGCATAATAGCCTTAGGCCAGTTGGCAAATCAATGTCCTCGTGTACATGCACTCTAAGATCTGTATCTCGTCTTGTCTTGTAGATATTGAGATATTGAAGTTCAGGCATATTTCTAAAAGTATGTTTGCTTATATGCACGGCGTTTGGAATTGTGGATATATCCAAAGATATACCCTTCACATTTCTACTACCCTAAGCCAAATAAAATAGAACAAATGTCAGTACAATAGGTAAGAAAGTCTTTTTACCATTCTGGGAAAAAAAAGAGAGAGAGAACTTACATTATCTGTTTCCAAAGCACAAATCTCCTTAGCAGTAGTCAAGAATTGGCGCTTCCAAGGCTCTTGTCTTTGAACAGCTTGTCTACCCACTTGTTGTAGCAACTTGTGCATCGTTACTTCACCATCGGTTGATATTTGTATGAGAGATTTGTAGGCCAGGGTTTTTAAACCGAATCTAACATTCAAGCCTTGCTCAGCGAGCATGGCCTTCACATTATCATCGCTTTTGTAGTTGAAAAACAATGCAATGTAGAGAAATAACGATTGATCATCCTCATGTAAACTATCGTATCCAACTCGAAGTACTTCATCAATCTTTCGATCAAGGCTAGTTTCTAGCCTATGCAATATACTTTCCCAGTCAACTTCTCTCTTTCCCCGTAAAGTTGAAGCCATGACACGGAGACCCAAAGGAAGGTTGCTGCAGAGCTCTGTTACTCGTTCGACAAGCTTTTCAAAACCATTTGGTGCATAGCTCTCTTTAAAAGCAATTCTACAAAAGATCTGACTAGCTTCTCCTTCAGTTGGAAAACCCACATGGTATGTATTTTTGATACCACGTTGCTCCAAAAGCTCTTGATCCTCCGTTGTTACAACAATCCTGCTTCCAGGACCAAACCAGTTAGTTTCATAAGCCAAAGCCTCAAGTTGCTGCAGATCGTCCACATCATCAAGGATGATAAGCACCTTTTGGTCGCATAGCCTTTCCTGTATTGCACCTAAATGGTGTATCCTCTTACCATTTTGGTTCAAAATCTTGGAAAGAAGTTGATCTTGTAAGTGCAGTTTCAAACCATACTCGTCAAGACCACTGTGATAGCTTCCTCTAATATTCTCCATAAAACAAGTAAGCTGAAAACTGCTAGAGAGTCGGCTATGTAAAGCCCTCGCAACGGTGGTCTTACCAATTCCTGAAGGGCCACAGATTCCTACTATCATAGCTTCATCCTCATCGTGTAAATGTAACAAAGACTGCATTTTCTGCAAATGTGCTTCAATACCCACCATGCCTTCAAAATCGCTACAGATTGTAATGTTTAGTTTGTTTGACACATCAATGGCAATCTTTTCAATCATCTTCGATTCGTTGTCCCTAACAAGTGAGAAAAATCACCGTTATTATCAAAAAGTTATATGTGAAAGGGATTTGTAGATTCTATTGGAAGATATTCAGTAGTTGACATTTAAACAACCAGTTAATATATTTTTAGGCAAGATCTGCATACACTGTGTGTATTTTTTGTAATCTTTATTAGTGAGCTAAAATATTGTCTTCTCTGAGTACCGGTCTGAATAAATAACATTTGCACTTCTATAAATTACGTCTTTTCAAAATTTATGGTTACATTTTGTTCAATATAGTTGTTATTGTATATAATTTATATATTTTTATTATTAGTGGTTATATTTTTTATCATAGATAATTTGTGTTTTTTTAAAATTATTTATATTGTTCAAAACTGTATAAAAATATAATTTGATAGTGAATTTTACTTTCTTGTAATAACTATATATCATAATAGTATGTTATTTACATGATTTGCTATAAATAAAAAAGAAGAAATAATAGAAAATCTAAAATATGATCGTTTTTCAATAATGCTAATAAATAGCCACTATTAAATCTGATGCTAATTGGTAGGGATGGGCAAAAAAATGGTAACAAAAAAAACCAAACCATCTGGAACCGAAAAAAGTGAGATAGTTTGGTTATGTTTAAATCTAAACGTCCATCTGGTTATCAATTTTTTTTAGTTTTGGTTTAAGTTTGATATGGATAAAAACCATCAAAACAAACAAAATTTTTTAAAAAATATATTTTTCTATTTTCTTAATTTAGTTTAGGTTCATATTATATTATTAGGCTAAATTATCTTTATAATTTACTAACTTAACTCATAAATTTTAAATATAATATTTATAAAATATGTCTACATATAAACAATAAAAGGTTGTAAACTTTAATTTTCAATCAAAATAAAAAATGTTTGTAGTTAACTCCTCTTTCTTGACATTCAAATTTTCTAGTTCTAATCTCCTAGCTATTTACTTTTAATTTATCTCTATTGATTGTTTTGTAATTATTGATTTTGAAAGGTTTGATACTTTGTTTATTTTTCTGTTTTAAAATATGTTTTTATTTCATGATTGATACTCAAATTTGATTCATTTATGGTCTTTAAATACATTATAAGTTTACAATTATATTTAAATCATAAATAGAGATAAATTATTGTCAATATTTATATATAATAAATTGTGTATATAAGATATGTATAAAAAATATGAACAATAGTGAATGAACAGTAAAAACGATGATAGAAATCTGATTTTTTTTTTAGTTTTTATTGATGGATTTTTTATGGTTTGGATTCTATTTTTTGAACTTTTGTCTTATTTCACACCTATCTATTATTACTATTCCTATTAACTCGAATCAATTTTATTTTGTAGTAGTATAATTCCGAAAAAATCAAAACAAAACAATACTAAACCGAACCAAATTACATATAGTTTTTGTATAGTTTTAATTTTTTTACATATGGTTTTTGTACCCACCCTTACTGACGGGGGAGGGGGAGGGCATCTGACAAAACTCAGAATTAGCGAATATTCATTATATTTTGTTTCATAACAATTATTAGTACCTGTGTTATTTTATCATTTTTTTTTTGTTTAAAGTTATAAATTTTTATAAAAATTTATATTTTAAAATTGAATAAATACAATTCTGTTTGCGTCTTTTCATTATAATTTTTTCATAACTGTAATTAAAGTTCATGTATTTTCAATATTCATCAAATACATTTTCATTTACAACTGATTATTTTATGAAAAGTTCCATTTTTTACTACTAATGGTGATTCAACTTTATTAAAAGATAAATAAAAATCTGATCATCTTCATTATTTTTGTATATGCATATTTACAAATACATTTACTAAAGTAAAATGAACGAAGTCCATTATTACTTCATCGTGTCTTTATCTCAAACTTAATCCAATAAATATTTTGATCATATAAACAATTTTTTTTTTCTATGTGAAAGCTAGTTATTTTATGTATATTTAACATAATTCAAAAATATGTGTTAATTTGTTAAATACTATTCTTTTTTGATTATGTAGTGCTATCTTATTGGTATAGCATCATCTTTTAAGTGTATATCCAATACTCAAATCTCTGATTGTAAGTTTTCTAAATTTAAAAAAAAAAACTATAACAACATGTATGATTTCTGTAATTTTATAATATATTTTTATTTTTTTAGTTTACATCAATTATCTTGTATTTATCTTCATTATAAAAACATTATGTGTGTTTATTTGTTTTGATTTATTCAGATCTTTTAAAAATATATTATTTTTCTTTTTTCATAAACAATAATTATCATTATATTTTGTTTGCATATATCATATCATTTATTTTTATGGAAAATGTCTATATATTTATGATTAATTGATTAGTAATGTTATCTTCAAATTTTAATATATTTTTTGTTTATAAATTTATGGTACCTAATATTTGGATTTTTTTCCAATATTTCAGAAAAAAAGAAAATAAAATATATATATATATATAATAGTAAATCCACATTTATATATGCATTTTTAACTAATATATATTTGTTATGTACAGCCTTTTAATATTGGGAGTCTTTTTTAGAAACTATAATATTTTAATCTTTGTATTTTTCACTTCTAAATGTATTAATCTTAGAAAATATATCATAAAATTCTGTTACATCAATTTTTATTATATATATTTTTTTTATAATTGCTATTGATAATTTTATAGTAATTTTTTTCAAAATATTGAATTTCATCACAATTCTTTGTTTTAAATTTTCAATAATAATTGTATGATTTTATAATCTTTTTGAAAGATTGCCTCTATTTTAATTTTTTTTTGCTTTATTTTTCTTATTAATATATACTTTTAATAATTATACAAATAGTTTAAAAAATCACGTATTACATCATATTTTTATATTGTATATTTTTATATATAACTTTTATAACATTATAAAAATATACCTTAAAAGATTGTATATCTTATTACTTTTCAGTTTTTTTTTATCTTTTCTATTAATAATTAGTAATAACAATCTTTAGAATATTTTTAAAAGTTGCACATTTTCATTTACAACTTATTGTAAATAATTTCAAAAATAAATTTGAAATCAATTTTAATATTTTGAATTGTTTATGATGTTTACATATTTTTTATTCATTATTTTTTATTTATTTATAATTATTTCAAATAAATTTTTGTTACTTTTCAGTTTTCTTATCTTTCGTATTAGTAATTAGTAATAACAATTCTTTAGAATATTTTTAAAAGTTGCACATTTTTATTTATAACTTATTGTTAATATTTCAAAAAAAAATTGAAATATATTTTAATAATTTTGAATTGTTTATGATGTTTACATATTTTTTATTTATTTATAATGATTTCAAATAAATTTTTGTTTAATCTTTAATTATTATCCTTAATTAAATAAAGTAAAACATGAATATTAATTAAGAAAATAAATCAGATCTTTTTGATCCACAAAGGATAGCATAAAAAAATTCAAACTCAGAAAGCAGACGAACCAGTTAAGGAAGTGATCTCCGGCAATGTTTCCCACATCGGCCAAAGCTTGGCTCCATTTTCGCCTCTCTTCCTCCGTTCTGCGGCGACAAGTTTCACTGAAAGCTCTCCCGAATTCTCCGGTCTGTTTCCGAACATCCGATGGATCTACGCCGTAGAAGACCGTCATCACAATTTGCCCAATATCTTGCTTGCACTTGAAGATCTCCACCAATTCATCCAAACACCATCCTGAAGAAGCATAGTTCTTCGTGAGCACCACGATCGAGATCCTCGATTCCTTAATCGCTTTTTCGAGAGCAGGAGCGATGGTTTCACCTCTCTCGATGCCTTGATCATCGAACATCGAAATCCCATTGTCGTGAAACTGTTTGCGTAAATGACTGAGAAAGGTTTTACGGACGTCGGAGCCGTGGAAGCTCGTGAAGACACGGTATCTCCAGGTACGAGGCCGAGAAGAAGAAGAAGCCATGAGAGAGGTAATCGTGAGTGGTTCAAAATGGTAGATTCGCAGAGATGCGTTTTGGATAAAGCCATAAATAAGAGGAGAAAATGGCAAACGCGTACGCTTACTGTTTACTCTGTTGACTGACTATTGAGAGAGAGAGAGGTGAAGTTTCTTCGCTCATTCTTTGAAAAGTAAACGAATTTTTAAACAGTTGAGAATTATCGTTACAAACAAACATTAGAGAAGGAAAACAAAAAAAGATAAGATATATCGTCTTTTTTTTTTTTTTTTTTTTCATTATCAAGACTTGACTTTTGGCAATTTACAAGAAGCTACAACCTTATTGATAATTGTTAGCTTGGGGTTGAATTGTAACCAACCAAGTTGTTTTCAAGTTTGAAATCTGAATTTTGCTTGGCTCTGTTTCGACTTTCGATTCATTTTTAATGATCCCATCGATATTTCTGGTTTTACCAACACTTTTTAACAGTTTGGAGTCTTACAGGAGTTTAGAGCGAAGGTTCATCAGAGAAATTATCATCTCATGATGAAATCATTTTCTACCTGCAAAAGAATTGACGTTGCCTTGAGCTCATTGTCTACTGAATCAGAGGAAGAACCACAAGAGATCAACTAAAAAAATTCTTACAAAGACGACAGAGAACAGAGTTGAAAACCAAAAATTAAAGAAAAAGAAACATATACTGTATAGAGTAGTACCTTTACAGTCTGGTTCCATCAAAATCATTGCTCCCATCTGAGAGACTTTCATCGTCTGTCTCCAGGCATTTGTTCTGAACAAGATTTATAGCTTCCATCGGAGATACATTTATTGTCGGATCCACAGAATTCATCTGAAAAAGATTTATAGCTTCCATAAGAGAGACTATATTAGGGAATAAAGTTTCAGAACAGTTATGTTTGTGAAGTTCTCAAGTTGTACAGAAATCATGGTTTGTCATAGAAAATGAGCTTAGTATTGTCACTGACAAGTAAGATCTGATGTGTGAATGATTTCGGGTTTTATCAGTTTCTGTATATGTTGTTTTCAGATATATTTGTGTCTTGTTTAATCTCGAGTTTACTTGGTTACTGGTTTTTGTGTTCAAAGTTTGAAGCCTTGCTCTTGGAATAGGAACCATTGCCTTATATTAGCATCATTGTATGCTCGACCTTAATGTTGGTCCATCATATTAACTTTTGAAGAGTAGAATATCTGAAAGGTTTAAAAAACCTGTGAAATTTTCAATTTCATTTTCGTTTGAGTAGACTTAAGTTTGATGAATTTCATTTTATTAAGCTGTGAAGTGGGAAGGACAAGAACAAAGTTTGGATTTCATATTAACACTTCCCTCAAAGTACCTTTACTGCCTGGATTCATCAAACTCATTGCTCCCATTAGAGAGACTTTCATCCTCGTCTCCAGATACTTGTTCTGAACAAGATTTATAGCTTCCATCAGAGATACTTTCATCGTCGTCTTCAGATTCATCATCATCATCGTCGTCTGTCAAGATCTGGACACCACATTCAACAATTTCGAATTCATGGGCTGAGGTGCTGAATTCGAATGATACCTCGTTGTCCTGTTCAAGCCATCCGTAATTCTTAAGCGATTCCAAATAAAATATACCGAGATGTATCCCTCGGATATAGCGGGGGAAATTCTTAAACCCTTGTTCGTCAATAGGGCAACCGTTTAAGCTTATGCGACACAATACATCAAAATATTCAATAAAATTAACCGCTTTGGTATGCGGTTTAGGAGTAACCACGACGCAAACTCTAAATCGGTAGAAAGATGAAGAGATGGTCCAGGAATTTCCTAGAGCTCGATGGTGGAACTCCGCAGGTATTTCCCATCCGGTTGAGAATGTTCTCTCGGGAGATGATTGCTGTGTAATTACTCTCCTTGCTTCTCGGCCCAATTTGTAGCAGTCGGTGAACCAGAGTGACTTAATTTGAGAGTCAATAGGGAAAGATGTTATTGTCTCCAGTGAGTCGCAAGTGTTTACTGCTAGTGCTGTGAGCGAGGGAGGGAGCTCTGGCAGTGATGCAAGTTTTGGACATCCAAATATGAAAAGAATGTCTAACGCAGGAAGATCTTTGATACGATCTGGAATTCTCTCAATATATGCGCCAGTTCGCTCCGAATATGGATATGGATAGATACCGCCGAATATATAGAGCTCCTGAAGCGAGACCAAGGGCTAACTCTTTGAAGCATTTCTTCTAACATCGTGTCTTCTATTGTGAGTTGTGTGACGTTCCCGTAAATATCTGGAATTAGCCTCAATTGGGAGCATCCCACCACAGAGACTGATGGTAGGTTGAAGACAGTCGGAACAACCTGTAGCTTTATACAGAAACCCATATCCAACATTGCTAGCTTAGGAAGATTTCCAATTGATGAAGGAATCTCCACCAAACTCTGGCAGTCGTTCAGACCCAAATCCTCGAGATTTGTAGCGTTTGAAAGATCCGGGAGTTCCTTTAAACACCGGGAAAATGACAAATCCATCTTCTTTAGATTTGTAAGGCGCTGAATGTAAAACAAGACAAACAAAAGGAAGAACATCTTCACAGATTACTGTATTAAAACAAGATACCTAAAAACTAGTTCAAGTTTAGTTATTATAATCACTTCTTCAATAAGAAACTGATTTTCACAGATTTATTCATGTTTCCAAGTTAAATCTACAAGTCTCAAATGAAATCAGTGAATACTTCTAAACGTTTGATTTTAAAGTCAATCTTTAAAGATTGGGTCAAAATTCTAAATTAAGATCTATAAACTGATAGACATAAGCAAATACAAAACACCAACCTGGGTACCTTCCCAAAGTTTCTCTAGCATGCTGTCTCGCAAATTGAGTTCCACAAGATATTGAGGCACAAATGTCCGAGGAAGACACTTCCCAGGGTATACTTCCCAGCGTAATAGCCTTAGACCAGTTGGGAAATCCATCTCCTCGTCTAAGGCTATTTGTGGATTAAAGCAGTGAAAGTTTACATCCATCTGTGCCATCAACTCATTCACATTAATCTGTATCATTTATGCATTCGCATCTATCCATAACATATATGTATTCTCATCCATCCATAACATCCATGCATTGTCATCCATTTATCTTTGGTGATGGTGCGGTAGTGTTGGCTATCCATGCATTTGCATTCATCCATGTATTCACATCCATCCATAACATCTGTGTACTCCCATCCATCTATAATATCCATACACTCTCATCCATCCATTCCCGTCCATTTCTACCATCCGTGCTTTTCCCATCTCTACTAGCCATGCTTTGTCTTTCTCCACCATCCATACTTTCCTCATCTCTGCTATCCATACTTTGTTCACATCTCCTGAAGAATGGTATAGATTTAGGGTTCTTTTGTTGTTGATCAGAGCAGAAAGTGATGAAAACAATCTCCGTTAATATCTCGCTTGAAAATCTCTCTTCTTGTTTGACATTAATTTATGTTGGGAAAAGAAAGAGAGGTTTCAAAGTTGTAGAAAAGAGAAATAACAAAAAAAATTTCTTTTTCATAACAAAAAGTAACGGAAGAGAAGAGAAAGAGAAAAGGAGAAAAGAAGATAGAAGGAGAGAAGAAGAGAAAGAAAGAAAAAAGATAAAATTGTCTTTTTAGTTAATAAAAGTGCCTTAAAACTGGTAAACTGTCTTTTTTTATATTGCATTTTGCTAAAGTGCATTTGACTATACTATTATCTATTATATATCATGGATAATAAATAAATAAAAACAAAGAATCATCCAACTTTAAAAAGTGAACATAATTTCAAATCGAGTGTATTATGAAAAAGTCCATACTATGAGTGAGCACTGTTTAGTGTCTACTCTGTAGATAGAGAATCTATATATAATAGCAAAATAACTTTTTTGAACTGCTGATTTCATCATTTTTTTGTAGGAAAAAATGACAAATTTAACGGTTGACGTTGTTTTGATTAGTTTTGATTTAAAAATTTAATGGCTAGGATTTGTCTGCTGACATCATTCTCTAAATGTTAAAAAACTATAGATGTAATCTGAACATGCACATAGTTAAAAAATTGCAACTTTATACTTAAAACATAGCAACTTTACGAACCATTATGGCTTTTCTTTTTGGTTGCTAAAAAAAATTAATCTAGTTTTTAACAATCTTTGTTTCCAGATTTAACGGTTAAGATTAGATTTATTATATCTGCCTAACATATACATATTGAAAAACTGTTGCAACTGGTAAAATGAATATTTGCAACCATTTCGGTTACTAACCATTATTGTTCGGTGACTAACCATTGCACCAGTTGATGATCAATCATTGCACCCTAATCAACCATTGTAATCTTTGGAAGTGACATTTGGTTTCCTATAAAAGGAGTTGTGGGTATTGCATAAAACAGAAAACAAATTGAAGCAAAGTAAGTAAGAGAGAGTTTAACTATTCCAAAAGATCATAAACATTTCTGGAAAAATACATATCATAATTTCGATTACTATGTTTTATCCTAAAATTAATCTAATAGTTAACAATCTTTGTTTCCAGATTTGATGGTTAAGATTAGATTTATTATGTCTGCCTAACATATACATATTGAAAAACTGTTGCAACTGGTAAAATAAATATTTGCAACCATTTCGGTTATTAACCATTGCAATTATTCAGTGACTAACCATTGCACCAGTTGATGATCAATCATTGCACCCTAATTAACCATTGTAATCTTTAGAAGTGACCTTTGGTTTCCTATAAAAAGAGTTGTGGACATTGCAGAAAACATAAAACAAATTGAAGCAAAGAAAGATAGAAAGAAAGTAAGAGAGAGTTTAACTATTCCAAAAGATCATAAACATTTTCTGGAAAAACACATATCATAATTTCGATTACTGTGTTTTATCCTACAAGGGTTTTTGACTAACTCAAAGCTTGATAAAAGTCGAAATACTCTTTAAAGTGTCATTGTGCAAGGTTTAATCATCAAGTTTATCATAACAGAAGATATCTGTATTCCAAAAACACAAATCAAATAGATTTTTAATGCGTCTGAAAATTGAATACGAATATAATAAAAATATAAATATTGGGATACCAGAATTTTATAATGAACGAGGTATTAATTTTAATTGTTATTTTTATGGATTTAAGTTTTATTTGTGTTATTATAAATTTTTATTCTTCAATTTATTTTATTTTATTTTAGGATGTCCATTAAAAATTAAAGATGCAGGTATTTACACATCATTTATTATATATATAGATTATTATAATAATATGGTATATAATCTTAATATCATAAAATTTAATATTAAATTTACTATTATTTCAGAATGTGTAAATATGCTAATGGATGTTGAAAGATCTGAAGCAATTGGTAGAGAAAGTTACAATGTTCTATTCTCGAATGGTTTGTTAAAATAAATTTCAGTCACTAATTAATAATCAATTTAAATTATTTTCTTAAGTAATTTTTATTTTCTGGGAAAATAGGTTTAAAAAAATGAAAACATTGCCAAATTCCAGAAGAAAACAAAATAAAGGTACTTACATATTTGTTATATAATTAATTAATAATAATGAAAATTTGTTTTAATAATATTATAAAATATTTGGCAGACAAGAAAAAAAGGTTATAAAAATTAGTGAACATAATAAATTAATGAGGTGTGAAGATTGTAATGCTTTAGTATGGTTTCCTGAGAGCACAGAAAAAAAATCGTATTACAAAATGTCCTTTATTTACTATTTGTTGTAAACAAGGTCGTGTTAAATTACCTAATATACAAGAGCCTCTTGTTGTGCTAAAAAACCTTTTATGTGATTCCACTTTTAAGAAAAACATTAGAATTTTTAATTCAATGCTCTTTATGTGTTCTATGGGTGCTGAAATAGATTATTCAATCTTAAATTCCGGTGGTCTATTTTGTTTTAAAGTACATGGTGAAAATTATCATAGTATCGGATCTCTTTTACCAATTGATGGTGAAAAGCCTAAATTCTTGCAGATGTATATATTTGATACATCTAATGAATTACAAAATCGATTATCAATTATGAACTGAGAGGGTAAAAAAATTCATTAGATGAAAATTTTTTATCATCATTAATTAATATGCTTGATGAAAATAATATTTTAGCTAAATTTTTAGAAAAGCTAGAGATATGTATGAAAGTGGTCATATTTGTGAAATAAAATTCATATGATAGGATATGATAAAAGGAAAAGACAATATAATCTGCCATCAGCCAATGAGATAGCAGGTTTAATAATCGGTGATTTTTCTAAGACTACTGGCGAACGAGATGTTATTCTTCAACATAAATCAGGCAATTTGCAAAGAATCTTGGCAACTCATCCTCTTTATATGGTTTTGCAATATCCATTATTATTTCCTTATGGAGAAGTTGGGTTCTTCGAAGGAATACTATATGTTCAATGGTCATCATCCGATCACAATAATGGCTATGTTAAAATGACAGAATGTTATATGTATCGTATACATAACAGAAACATCAAAGCATCCACTATTCTAAAAAGTGGTAGAATATTTCATCAATATGTTGTAGATCCGTTTACGTCTATTGAGGCAAGCCGTCTGACATTTATTAAACTTAATCAAAAGGCAATAAGAGCTGATGTATTTAATAATGTAAAGAACGCCATATCAAAGGGAGATCATGATCCATGTAGTCTTGGTAAAAGAATTATAGTGCCATCATCAATTACTGGAAGTCCAAGATCTATGACAGAAAAATATCAAGATATAATGTCAGCTTTGTCGTTGTTTTGGAAATCCTGATTTATTTATTACCATGACTGCTAATCTTAAATGGAATGAAATAAATGAATATTTAGAACTTACCGGTGATACATCGCCCAATGACAGTAATGAATCACCAGTTTTTCATTTAAAATTAGATGAGTTAATGATTTTAGTTAAAAATAATAATTTTTTTGGACCAATAAATGAATGTAGTTATATTTATGTTTGAGTTTTAAAACTATTCAGATAAAATCTAATTATTTATATAATGTTATTTTTCTTTTTTCTGCAGTAGTTTATACAATTGAGTTTCAAAAAGGGGTCTCCCCCATGTACATATTCTTATATGGTTAAAATGTGGACGTGATATTGCTTCCTCAATTGATATTAATAAATATGTTACTACTGAATTGCTTGATAGAGTAATTGATCCTAAATGTTATGAATTAGTAATATAACATATGATGCATGGACCATGTGGACTTAATAGACCAAATAACTCTTGTATGGAGAATGATGTTTGCACTAAAAAATATCCCCGGCCATATTGTCTTTCATCATGTATTGATGAAAAATGATACATTATATATAGGCGTAGAGATATAATGTCTAGCTATGTTATGAAAGGTGATATCAAATTAGATATTCAATATGTTGTTCCCCATAATTTAGAGCTACTAAGGCTTTTTCGAGCACATATTAATGTTGAATTTTACAATAAAACAAGTGCAATTAAATATCTAATCAAGTATATTACTAAAGGCATTGATAAACAATTGCAATAACAGTACAACTAATTCTAATGTAGTTAAGTACGATATAAATGAGATTGAAAATTATCTTGATTGTCGATATGTATTTGCTTGTGAATCGATGTGGTGAATTTTTAAATTTGAGATACATCATCAACATCCTCAAGTCCAGAGACTAAGCATACATCTTCCTCGTCAGCAACTTATGTTTTTTAATAATTCAAGTGATTTAAATAGTGTTGCTACTAATTATGAAATCAGACCAAGTATGTTTATGGCTGATTTAGAGATGAACAAATCAGATCCGGATGTCGGAATGTTATCATATGTTCAATTTCCGTCAAGGTATGTTTGGAATAAATCAGATCACACATGGACAAAAAGAAAAAAAAGTCAATCAATTGGAAGATTGAATAATGTTCATCCTTCGTATGGTGAACTATATTATCTTAGAGTTCTAATTAATCACCTAAAATGATCTACAAGTTTTGAAGATATGTTAATTGTAAATGGA